TCCATTTACTACAATGTGCTGAATTCATGTTAATGAGGATTTAAAGACATTTCAATTAGTGGAAAAAATTGCAGGAGGAATATAAAAAATATTTTAAAAAATGTCATGCTGTACCTCTGTGGGCCCCCTAGGGGCCGTGGACCCCTGTTGCACAGGAAAAATGATCTAGAAATAAGTAAAAATTTCTTAAATTACGTGTATTTACGCTTAATTTGAGTAGGTAAATGAGATAGTTCGTCAATGGAATGAGTATTTTTACTCTTAAAATAAGATCATTCGATAATATTCACTTGAAATAAGACAATGCAATTGTGTTTTCTTATTTTAAATCTAATTTGTCTTGTTCCATTGGCAAAATGTCTCTTTTATCTCCTCAATTCAACAACAAATGCTCTTATTTTAAGAAAAAATTACTAATCTAGATATCGATTTTTTCCAGTGTGAAGACCTGTGCTGTAGAGCATCATCCCTTCCTCCACATTCTCCACAGTCTAAATACAGTTCCAGTTCACCTCTTTACAAACCAATTTAGCCTCAGAATGTACTTATTCTGTCCTGATCTGTCTGTCCTATCTTAAATTGTTTGAGAAGAGTTTAAGCTTTTAAATTGAAGCATCTAAAATGGCAGAGACAGGGTGAGTTAGGCAGCTGTATAATGGAAACATTTGTTTTGAAAATAGGCATGAAACACATGACCGAGCGTCATTAGTTCTTCCCTAGCCCCCAGCTAAAGTTGTTTTGGGAGACTTAAATCATGTGCTTGTGTTGTATGAAGCCTTTTTTCAGGAAAAAGTTTCAGTTTCTGACAAAAATGTCCTCGTATATAAAAAGTCCATCTCAGAGGTGTTTTTGTTCTTTCCTGAGTTAAAACCTACCCTGATGTTTATGCCAATCAAATGCAAAACTGCAGCTCCTCTCTGTTATGTTTCGGTTTAATCAATGGCTAATAAAGGAGAAAATTCTGATATTTAGCTTGGTTGTGATCTTACCATTCTTTCCTTTCATTGTACGCAGCCGGGGCCTTCATCAAGCACAAGCTTCTAATTCCTGAAGTAAAATCCTCTTAGGATCTATGCTCTATTTCTGTTTGGTCCATTGGGACTTTTTTAAAATCTCCATTAGAGCCTGCTCATTGGCTGGATAGGCAACACGCATACACACAAAAAAAAAAAAAAAAAACACACACAGCTTCCAGCAACAGATAGCGCTGACAAGTGATCAGGAGAACAGCAGCGCAGGGTTAACTGCTGACACACAGGGAGGACTTTATCTGGACTGTCAAAGGTAAGGAAAACAGCTCTTATTGAATAGAACGGAATCTACAGAATACAGACATGTGAAGGCATCTCTTTTTAAGATCTTTTTGCTCTGTAAAGATTTTATTCTTCTATTTAACGGAATATTTTGAATAACTCTTTTGCATTTGCGTTATTACCTGACACACATTGAAAATAATCAACATAAGGCTGCAAAACAGGATTAACTTTAGAACAAACAAGTCTCTTTCTTTGCTTACTTTTCCTCATCTTTTGTGTTTTACTTTCTGCTCACTTAAATCACTACCCTGTAACTCAGTACACAGACAGCCATATGTAGTATCATATACAAATGATGCAGTTATTGAATCTCCATTTATAAAGTAGGAGATAGATGACGATCATAAAGATCATTAGACCAGATCAGCATCGTGACTGCAAGCGGGGAGGGAGAACTACTCCCAGCAGGCCCTAATCCAATCTGATGTTGGCTTAAAATGCGTCACGCTATCTACTGGCTTAAACAGTGACACCACAGAAATGACACAGCAGTGTATGGAATACAAAACGCAAATTTGCATCCGATTCATTTGTATATCTGCACAAAAAGTAGCTTTCAGGAGCAACGACAAGCAGAACAAGGATCTGATTGCTGTCCTGTAATCCTCTTAAACTGCATTAATTTAATTAAATTTAAAGGACTCTTGTTGTTTGTAAGCTTTTCTAAATTATTCTACATCTGTAGAGACATAGTTTAAACTCAGGGGAGACTGATAAAGTATTTAATTAAGGGAAACACCTTTTCTCCTTTACAGGTAGCTGACCATAATGTCTGGCAGAGTGATTGATCTGGAGGAGACGGCGACGCATACAGGTGAGCAGATGATCCCTTTTCCTTTTTTTAAAACACGGTACTTTGTGTAAATCGATCAAGTGGAATTCTTTCAAAAATCTGTTTATCAATTGAAAGCCTTGTAGAAAACATCTGAAACATTTTGTTCCTACAGAGATAATTGGCTAACAAAGGGAGAGGATTAAAGCAGGGGAAAGGAAAACCAACGCAAAGAAGAGAGCAGTTTAACAGATGGTCTAATCTTTTTCTTGTGAAACGTCAGGCTAATTAGTCCACTTCCTCGAAAGAAAAGATTATCTCTGGATTGCAAACAGGATACTCTACAGGGCTTGTCAATGCTGAGACCAAACGAAAGTAATTCACTGTCAAATCTACAGAAAACCCAGATTTAGATGCTTTATCAGGGTGAACAGGATTCAGTCCTGACAGTTTTTAGACTAAAATCTATTTCTATTCAAAGAAAATGTTTGTTTGGGATTGGAAATTACACAGGCAACATCAAAAAATATTAAAACAACGATCACCATCCATCCATCCATCCATCCCCGAAGCTCTGGGTTGCACTTCTGGGCAGTAGCCAAAGAGTGAGGCTCAGGCAAAGTACTGATTAGATCCCGGAACCACAATGTCTGGGATGTAATATTTATAAAACCTATTACTATCATAGGAGAAGTGGGGCAGGAGTATAAATATTTTGGTGTTCAACTGGACAACAAAATCGACTGAAGATGTAACACTGAAACTGTTTACAAAAAAGGAACATAGGAAATTGTACTTCCTAAAGAAGCTCAGGTCCTTCAGCATTTGCAGCAAGATGCTTCAGATCTAACTGATGCTTGGGATATATTGTTGGCCTCATGGTTTTGAATCTGCACAGATAAAACGATCCATATGATTGTGGAATAAAGGTGGAACGGTTCACAAAAATCCACGGTTCGATTCACGGTTTCGTGGTCACGGTGTTCGGTTCGGTTCGGTTCGGTATATGTTGATTGTTACACCGAAATCCCATAAAAATTAATGAAATTAATGACAAAATCAAAAAAAATAAATGAATTGTAATTATTTTTATTGATCTGCGGAAACCCTGG